GTCCATCATAGACTTTGCATGTAAACCTGATGCTCCTGATGCTGAAATCATGTTCGGTGTGAACGCACCATAAGGGTAAAGTTGACAACATTAAGACCCCCAGCTTCCGGTGAAGTTCATCTTCAACAGCTCACACAAGAAAACCTTATTTATGTATTTGATGGTTTTTAACTATTCAGCAACTACAACTCTGAAATCTGCAGCTAAGTACCTGAAAAACAAGTTTCTTCCATGTTTCATGTAAAAACATATAAAAATATGCAAAATGTCTAAACATCTTCATAAAACTGATTTTTTTTTGTTTATTTAAATCTTGTTAATTCTAAAATATTTTGCATTTTGCTGAAGATTGCTTTWTCAAACAGTATATTGTAAAGCACACGTTTCAAACACAAGGCCCACGGGCCAAATATGGTCCGCAGGTGACTCCCGTCAGGCCTGCCAGTGGGGGCGCCCCCAAAAATAAGATTTTTTTTTTTTTACTTAATATGAAATTTGTTATTTTATTTCAATGGCAAACTTTAAATTTATGATTAAATGCAACACAAAACAAATTTAAAAGGTGAAAGATAACACTTGTCCTGCCCCTGAGCTGTTAAGTAACTGAGCAATTTAGTTGGATCGCACATTATTAATGTCTTAAAATAAGCTGCTTTAAAGCATTGACCATAAACTAAATCTCCCATAATGCATGTTGATTATACATGAGAATTCCCCAACATAACACTCATGAAAATGGGTTTGACAGCCGTGCTAAAAAGGCCATAACAAAGATCTTGATCTTTGGAAAGCTGCAGGTTACATGTTGCCTCTACATCTCACCTCAGTGAGCTGAGTCTGAAGCTCTGCGATCTTCCTCTCATATATCATCTTCCTGTCTGACACTATGGCCATCAGGTTGAATCGGATCTCTCCTTCGCTGTACCTGAGGAGCAAAACAAACKTTCAGTATCGGGTCAACTTTAGATCAGTTTTAACAATCGGTTCAAACACGTTTAAAAATTTACTTCTGTATTCTCTTCTCGATAACCGGGCGGACCGCACTGATCCAGTCATCCTGGTTGCACGTACCTGGTAACAACAGTGAGTAAATGTGGTGACAGTGAGCACGCACAGCTTATTATCACAACAGGAACGGTTTGTGGGACGAGGATCATCACCACAAAGACAGAACACAGAGCCTCGCTATAAAACAAAGACTCAACAAACTGATCATTCGACTGAAACTCAAAAGGCAAAAGAAACGTTTTGAACTAAAACTTGCAATTTTCTGCMTACCCAAGTCAATCGGTCCTTCTCGAAGTCCATCCAGCTCGTACAGTCTGCCGTTTACAGGAACGTAGCTGACAAAGTGGAAGGCATCTTCATCCTTCGCTGTCGACTTCGCATCAAATTCAAACATCTGCTGTCTWCGAATAAATACAACCAAACATCAGACAGTAATTTAAAGGGATCCATGATTAGTTGTAACATTTGACTTCGTTTAATAAACATATATTTTAACTGTAAAATAAAGACTGTAAAAATAC